CACCAGGAAGTCTCCCTCATCCTTCATCCCACATCCCACAGCAAGCACCCACCCCTATCAGTCCTGCCAAAGGTCAGGACCCTGAGGGCAGGGATTTGTGTTTCCAGAACCCAAACGGTGTCTGACACCTTAGGTGTCCAACAGCCTTACATCAGCCATCGGTGAAAGCGGAAAAACCTACAGCCATGGCAGCAGGGCGACAGACACTGTCCCAGGTGCTGTGGAGCTCGTTTCCACAAGAAAAGCTCCGATCCTTACTCTTACTTAATACAGAGGAGGAGCCAAGCACACAGAGAGGTGAAGACACTGGTCCCAGGTCACACAGCGTCCACCCAAGCTCTTTTTTATTTTTTTTAAGATATATTTTATTGATTTTTTACAGAGAGGAGGGGAGAGGGCTGGAGTTAGAAACATCATTTAGAGAAAAACATCGATCAGCTGCCTCCTGCACACCCCCCACTGGGGAAGTGCCTGCAACTAAGGTACATGCCCTTGACCGGAATCGAACCTGGGACCCTTGTCTGCAGGCTGACGTTCTATCCACTGAGCCAAATCGGTTACGGCTCCGCCTAAGTTCTTAACCTCATTTAAGGGTGAGGAAACAGCTAAGCTAAAATCTGAAAAAGCCAAGGGCTGAAGTGGTGGTATCAGAGGTTTTAAGAAAGGTGGGGAGGAGATAAACACATCCGCGCCCTGTGGTGATTTTTGCAGCGGCTGCTTCTCTGGAGCCTAACAGTTCCTGCCTCCAGGATGGGCACTGGGGACCTGAGGAAGGAGGAAATGGACACATCGCACTCTTTACTTTTTAAAACTGTTTGATTCTTTTATTATTATTATTGATTTCAGACAGGGAGGGAGAAACATCAGTGATGAGAGAGAATCATTGATGGGCTGCCTCCTGCACGCCCCCCCCCACTGGGGATCAAGCTGCAACCTGGGCAGGTGCCCTTGACCAGAATTGAACCCGGGACCCTTTAGACCACAGGCTGACGCTCTATCCGCTGAGCTAAACTGGCTAGGGCTTGATTCTTTCTTTCTCTCTTTTTTTTTTTTTAAAAAAAAATATATTTTATTGATTTTTTACAGAGAGGAAGAGAGAGGAATAGAGAGTTAGAAACATCGATGAGAGAGAATCATCGATCAGCTGCCTCTTGCACACCCCCCACTGGGGATGTGCCCGCAACCAAGGTACATGCCTTTGCCCGGAATCGAACCCGGGACCCTTCAGTCCGCAGGCCGACGCTCTATCCACTGAGCCAAACCAGTCTCGGCTCTTTCTCTCTTTTTTTCAGGTTGGTATTACCTAGAAAAAACTCATTCATTATTTACGTTCAAACACTAAAACTACAAACCAGGCAGAACCTGCAACAGAAAATCCCACAGCCAGGAAGCTGGGACTGAGGTTCGACTCTTAGGGTCCCACATCAGAGAGCCAACGTGGGACCCTCCCTTCACCACAGGTCCCCACATTCTGGAAAACTCTAGCAAGCGGTGGTGGATGGGAAAGGGTGCCGTGTGACTTCACCTCTCTGAGCCTCTGTTTCCAGCCTGGGAACCATCACTCAGTGGTTTGCTGCAACACTTCAAAGAGATAAGAAAAACCCTAACAGGCCCGAGCTCCATATAAGGAAGCTGAGGGTCAAAACAGAGGAGAGAGCTTCCCATCGCTGGAGGCAATCAAGCAGAGTCACTCTGGTTAGGTCAACCTTCCGGGTCCGAGGCTTGCCCTTTTCTGTGCCCTAAGACTTCCCCCATAGCTGCCTTACACCACACACCGTGTGACCCTCACTGCCGGCACCCACACACCTTCCCAAGCGACTGGTCTTTTCAAACAGCCCTGCAATAGGAACCAGATCTGGGGTCTGTGGGGCCTGTGTAGGCTCTGTCCAGTTCCTCTTCCCTGACCAGTCTGTTTCCTATAAGCGAACAAGAAAGTAAAGGTTCTTCCTTCGTATCTCCGTTAATTGTTCACACAGTGAAAGAGTGTTACCTATATATATATATTTTTTTTCAATATATTTTATTGTTTTTGTACAGAGAGGAAGGGAGAGAGATAGAGAGTTAGAAACATCAATGAGAGAGAGTCATCGATCAGCTGCCTCCTGCACACCCCCTACTGGAGATGTGCCCGCAACCAAGGTACGTGCCCTTGACCAGAATCGAACCCGGGTCCTTTCAGTCCCCAAGCCGACGCTCTATCCATTGAGCCAAACCGGTCCCGGCTACCTATATATTTTTAAAAGACTGTTAAGCCTCACTGGTTGAGCACTGACCTATGAACCAGGAGGCCATGGTTTGATTCCCGGTCAGGGCACATGCCCGGGTTGTGGGCTCGATCCCCAGTGTGGGGGGTGCAGGAAGCAGCCGATCACTGATGTTTTTGTCTCTCCTTCTCCCTTCCTCTCTTAAATATATTAAATATATATCAATATATATATATATATATATCAATTAAATATATATTTATCAATTACCAATTAAATATATATACGTGTGTGTGTATGATGTATAGATACATATATATGGACATCAAAGGTTTTCTTTTCCTTTTTCTTTACTAGCATAATACTCTGGAGTCAGTCCTGAGTTCAAATTCAGACATGCCTACTTCCAAACTGTTGGGCCATCTGCTTCATTTGTCCATGCCTCAGTTTCCCCATCTGTAAACTGGGAGGTGGGGCAGTCACAGCATATCTCTCTCTTAGAATTGCTGTTGAGGATTACACTGAATTAGCTACCTAGTCCAGTGTCTGCACAAAGCAGATTGCTGACCAAGTGGTCTCACAATTTTTTAAACTAAAATCAAGAGCAATGCCCACCACTGGAAGAGAAAGAAATGAACCCAAATCCTTCTTTAGCGGCCTCTGCCCCGAGGGCCTCAGACTTCCGCCGGCCTCCTGCTCTCCCAGAATCCCAGTGCAGAGTCTAAGACGCATTAGACACTCAACAAATATTTGTCAAACTGGGGGGGGGGGGGGGGGGCCGCGCGGGAAGGAGCTTTTATCTTGTAATTTTCCATCTTAACATCCTCCCTCCCAACTGCCCCCCAAGACTGTCACCATCCCAACCAGCCAGCAACCAAAGGATCCTGGTCTGCTCTTCTCCCTCAAGACTGCCTAGGAATGTCTGATGCATCCTGCTCCACGCGGCTCTCTGAGCCTCAGTTTCCCCAGCTGGGTGGCCTGGGTGGGTGTGAACCCTAGCTGTCTTGGGAGAAGAGGCACAGCCCAGACAGTGGGGTGTGGCCAGTGACAGGGAAGACCCCCCTCAGGAAGGGAAGCAACCCCCTGGGGGGACACCCCCAGCTCAGCTTTGGCCCCTCCCCAGAAGGTGGGAGGCTGGGCCTCCACCAGCAGGAGGGGGGCTGTGGAGGGGCCGGGGCCTCGGGCCTGGGCTTGGGGTGGGGGTGGGGGTGGGGGTGGGAGGCCGGCCCAGACACTGCTCCTGCCCTTTTACGGTCTCAGGGAGTGAGGCAGCACTAACTCGGACATCCGCCATCCGCCTTCCCCGGTGCCTGGGACCGGAAACGCGGGGGGCGGGGGGCAGGGGGCGGGCCGGGGCCGGTGGGAGAGAGGGCTCCCCGGGGAAGAGGGTGCGGGAAGGGAGCCCAGCTCCCCGGAACTGCCCTGGGTCCGGGGATGTTACCATAAGGGGAGGAAGGGGAGGCAGGAAGTCGGGGCGGTATCTGGGGGTGCCCCCTTGTCCCAAATTCTCCGGCCACCCCTTTCCCACCAGAAGGGACAAACGCGGGCGGTGGGCTCTCCCAGGGCCCCAGAGGGAACGCCCCCCGATGCCGGATGGGGGGGAGGCCGTGGGCACCGCGGGGTTAATGCCGGCTGCCCCCGGAGGCCGCCCCTGCCCGGGGTCTTGGGGCAGGAAGTCCGGGGAGAGTGGAGGAAGGGAGATAGCATTGTCTGACTCCGGCCTCTGGGGAAGGTGATGGGGGGTCGGGGGAAGGAGAACGGGGGGATCCGGTCCGGTCCCCCCAGCCCACACGGGCCCCGCCCTCAGGTGAGCCCGGGAGTTTTGGGGAGGCCGGGGTGAGACAAAACCCTGAGCCCCTGCCCCCGCCCCCCACACACACACACCCCGGGGTTAAATTCGGGGGCAGATGGCGGGAGCGATCTGGGGAGCCTGGGTCCCAGGGGAGCGCGGTGACCTTGACGCTTCCCCGCGCCCCCTCCTCCCGCCCCGCAGCCGCGGCCGGAGGGGGAGGGGAAGATGGGGGGGGGGGGAGCCCGGCCCGGCGCCCGGCCCCCGCCCCGCACGCCAGCTGTCTCGACAGGTGAGCCCGGAAGACAAAGGCCCTCCGCCCGCCCCGCGCCCGCAGGTGGGGAGCGGGCCGCCCGCGGGCCGGGCCGGGCGCCGCCCTCGGACCCGCTCGGTCCCGCTCCCTCGGCCCCGGGCGCGGCGGGTCCGGGGCGCCGGGCGCCGGGGGAGGGGCGTCCCCCCAGCCTCCAGGCTGCGCCCGGGGCCGCCCCCTCCGACCCCCGGCAAAGGGGGAGCCCTCCGCTTGGAGGGGCCGCCGTGTCCCCGAAGTTAAGGAGCGAGTCCCACACGGGAAGGCTTCCCAGCGCCACGTAAAGGGGAGCCCCACAAACCAGGTGCCGGGACCCCCACAAGCCGGCCCCCCAAACCCTCTCGGAGCCCGAGTTGAGACTTGGGGGGCATGCTGAGAACTGCCGAAGCCTGGCCCCCCGCGGGGGGTCCCTGCCAAGTTGGGAGGGCCTCCGGAAAAGTCTTACAAACCCGGGAGTCCTCGGGACGCCCCCAGACCGGGGGGCTCCCAGGAGAACCCCACCGGCACCACCGCGAAGCTTGGGAGTCAGGAGGCGAAGTGGTCGGTTTTGGGAGCTCCTCCAAGGAGGACCGGCCTCAAACCCGAGGCTCCCGGCGCCCGGTCCCCAAATCCCAGCCCGGAGCGAGTTGGGGGGGGGGGGACAAAGGCGGGGCGGGGGGCCGCGCCGGCGGGGCAGGGGCTGGAGGCCCTGGAGGCTCACCTCATGGCTGCTCCGCAGGCGGGCGGCGCACCCACAGGACGGGGCGCCCCTGGATCGAGGTTCAGGGGTTCAGGGCTGGCTCCGGGTGCTGCTCAGTCTCCCCCGGGGTCCCGCCCCATAGAGTCCGGCTTCCTGGGGGAAACGTGGACGGGGCCGGGGCGGGTCCTCGGGCACCTCCCCGCTCTGGGGGTTCGGATCGGGGTCCCCGCGGCAGAAAGGGGTGCGGCGTGCCCCCGCGGCGTCCCGCGGCGCCGGCGGCTGCGGTGTTACTCTCACTCCCGTACTTCCCTCCGCTCCGAATCCCGCCCCTACCCACAGTGCCCCGCGCCTTAAAGGGGCCGCGCCGGGCGGGGCGAGGGCCCTGGAGAGGCGACGCCGAGCCTCTCACACCCCGGCGTTACCGCGCGGGGCTGCTCGCCGGGCCCTCTCCCATGAGGGGAAGCTGGAGGAGGGGAAGGGATCCCGGCTGTCCCCACGATGGGGATTCTCAGGGGGATCTCCACGGGGCACAATGAGTTATCACCCTTCCCACCCGCTTCTCCATTTCTCTGCTCGCTCTGGGGAGGGGGCAAGGCGGACCCGCAAGATTCCTCCCTTAAATCCTCCCTCCTGACCCCCCCAAACGTGTCTCTCCTCCGCCAATGGGGGGGTTGCTAAAGGGGAGCCCTCCTCCCCGCCCCCCGCCGGCCGGGAAGGTGAGAGGAAGCGGCCGAGGGGGCGCGGCCGCCGTGACTCACAACCGCGGGGAGGGGGGGGGGGTGCGGCGGGACCTGGTTGGGGGGAGGCGCCGGGTTCCAGGGGGGATGAAGCCCCGGCTCCCTCCCCACGCACGCCCCGCCGTCACTCAGCCCTGCCCGCGGAGAACGGCAAGACCCTCCCGCCATTGGGGGGCACGAAGGCGGCGCGACCCTCCCGGTACCCGCTCGCGGGTATCCCCTTCCCCGCGGCTGAGCCCAGACACCCGCCGCAGCTTCCGCAGCGGGTCCCGCCGCCCCGCCCCGTGACGTCACCCGGACAGCCACCTGGCGGGGGTGCGGCGCCCGGTCCTGGGCAGAAGCCTGGGGACCCATCCGTTTGCCCCTTACAAATGGGGGGACGGACGGAGGCCTGGAGGCGGGAACTATAGCTGGGCTATAAGCCCCCTTGCCTGCATCCCCAGAGCTAGGGGTGCTTGGTGCGGTGTAAAACAAACAATACTCAGGGTCCAGGTGACCAGGTGAGCAAATCCGCCTTCCCAGCCTTTGTCCAAGCCAGACTCTGCCCGGGCGCTTCCCTGACCTCACCTCCTGCTTCTAGGCCTTGTGCTGACATTCGTGCTTTTCTGCATCTCGCCCTGGGAGCCCTTGACCCCCGGCCCCCTGTGTTAGAATTGCTTCTCTGTGTGTCTCCTCAGGCTATGCGTTCTTTGGGAACAGGTAGGTGTAGACCTCATCTATTTCACTCACTCAGCCAGGCCCAGGACAGCATTTCAACACACACGTCTTCAACTGAGGAAGAACTCCAGTTCTGTGTGACCTGGGGCAAGTCCTTTCTGGGTCTCAGCTTTTCCATCTGTGAAATGGGAGGGTGGTGCTTCTGTGTGCCCTGCAGTCAGCAAACTTTTTCTACTAGATATCTTAGGCATATTAGAGTCCCTTTCATACGTTTTTTACAGCCCTTTAAAATGTAAAAACCATTCTTAACTTGTGTAAAACAGGTAGCAAGACTAATGCACTAGAAACCCTTGCAAATGTACACAAGGAGCCTGACCAAGATCCTGATGGCAGTAGTGATGTGAGGGCAAAGATATTGGAAATAACCTACAGGTCCATCAAAAGGAGGATGGCCAGCCGAAACTGGTTTGGCTCAGTGGATAGAGCCTGCGGACTGAAAGGTCCCAGGTTCGATTCCGGTCAAGGGCATGTACCTTGGTTGCGGGCGCATCCCCAGGTGGGGGGGGGGGGTGTGCAAGAGGCGGCTGATCAATGATTCTCTCTCATCGATGTTTCTGTCTCTCTATCCCTCTCTCTTCCACTCTGTAAAAAATCAATAAAATATATTTTTTAAAAGAGAGAGAGAGAGAGAGAGAGAGAGGAGGATGGCCAAAACCGGTTTGGCTCAGTGGATGGAGCGTTGGTCTGTGGACTGAAAGGTCCCAGGTTCGATTCCGATCAGGGCACATCCCCAGTGGGGGGGTGCAGGAGGCGGCTGGTCGATGTTTCTCTCTCATCCATGTTTGTAGCTCTCTACCCCTCTCCCTTCCTTTCTGTAAAAAATCAATAAAATGTATTTTAAAATAAAAATAAAAAGAATGAGGAGTGCAAATGGCATGAAAGTAGTCCCCACCATGTCACTGAGTGGAAAAACAAAAACTGCCAAATGCTACATAGGATAAAGGAAGCACCTAAGATACCATCTACATGGGTGTATATGCAGAATCAAAGAGCTGGAAAAAATCCACTCAAACTCATGGCCATGGTTACCAACAGGGTAGGGAATGGGGTTGTGGAGTATTCGATGGTCATAGACATCTCAAGCCTCATCCCGGAAATGCCAAGTTCAAGCCCTAGCCAGGCTCGGTTGGTTCGAGTGTTGTCCCAATACGCCAAGGATTTGATCCCCTGTCAGAGCCCATACAAGCATCAACCATTAAATGTATAAATAAGCAGAACAAAACAAACAAACAAGCAAACAAAAACCCAGCCGAAACCGGTTTGGCTCAGTGGTAGAGCGTCGGTCTATTGACTGAAAGGTCCTGGGTTCGATTCCGGTCAAGGGCATATACTGGTTGCAGGCACATCCCTGGTCAGCTGCCTCCTACACACCCCCAACTGGGGATGTGCCCACAACCAAGGTACATGCCCTTGACCAGAATCAAACCTGGGACCTTTCAGTCCGCAGGCCGACGCTCTATCCACTGAGCCAAAAAGGGTTTCAGCTCATTTTATGCCTTTTTGTACCCTTGAATTTGAACCATGGGAACTTACTACCATTCAAAAAAACAAAACAACAAATAACAATTTTTAAAAACCAAGGTAGAGGTAGCTTTTCTTATCACACCCCGCTGTTTTATTTTCCTTGGGACACTTGTCAGTGTCTGAGATGACCTTATTTATCGGTTTCCTTGTTTGCTGTTTCCCGTTCTCCCCTCCCCACACACACTCACACCAGGAGGTTCCCCCCCCCCCCCCGAGAATAGACGGGAATCTCAGTGAGGCCCCTGGTTGACAGCTGTGAGCAGGTGCCCAATATGTTTGCCAAATGACTGGGCAAACGACGTTTGGGGGGGGGCGGTGTATGTTCTTTTCTACAAGAAAAATGTATCTTGAATTATGTAATTTTGACTTAATAATAACAAAGTCTCCCCTGGCTCCTCCCTAACAGATGAGAAAGGGGAGAGCAGGTTATTGAACCGGGTGATCTTTCAGGATCCATTCAGCTCTAGACGTTTGGTTTTGGGGGATGTTTTTTCCATCTTGATGGCGAGTGGAATTTCCCCTCTCATAAGACGTTTCTGCAGGAGGGAAGTAGGAGAAGGGGAAATAGACCTTCTGTTCCTCCATCAGCTCTTCTTCCTTCCGCTGTTTTTTGTAGCTGAGGGAGGGGAGGTTTCTAAGTTCCCTTATGGCCCCAAAGGACAACGGGGGGGGGGGGGAGGGGACCCCTAAGGACGACAGCTGTCAGGCCTGAAGTCCAAGGCAGAGCTGGAATGGGTGCCAGGGGCCTTCCCAGCCTCATTCTACACCTTCTGTGACATAAAATATGAGATGGTGAACAGACACCCCCTCCAGGCTCTCAGTATCTATTCCCCTATTTGGGACCAGCATCTCCCATCTCTCAATCCATCAGGTTTGGATGCACTGGACCCCTAACTCTAAGCCCTCCCTTGGGATGGGCTTATGACCACAGTCTGACCAGTTAGAGACACAGTGACTGGCGGGCATGTGACCCAGGGAAAACCAGCTGTGGAACCATTGCTGCAATGACTGGGAAACTGGTGCCTTCTTTCCTTTTTTTTTTTTTTTAAATATATATATTATATTGATTTTTTTACAGAGAGGAAGGGAGAGGATAGAGAGCTAGAAACATCGATGAGAGAGAAACATCAACCAGCTGCCTCCTGCACACCCCCTACTGGGGATGTGCCTGCAACCAAGGTACATGCTCCTGACCGGAATCAAACCTGGGACCGTTCAATCCGCAGACCAACGCTCTCTCCACTGAGCCAAACCGGCTTTGGCTGGTGCCTTCTTTCTACTGAGGATGCTAAGCTCATGGGATGTGAGGCTGAAGCTGCAAGTCTCTGCGACCTCGAGCTCAGACCCCGCCTGGGATTGAAACCAATTCGGAGGAAATAAAACTAAGAGATGGTTCCTGATGACATCATCTGACAACTGGACGCAGTCACGCCTTAAGTCCCTGAACTCTGCAATTACATGGCCCAGTAAGTTCCCTGTTTTGCTTTTTCTGGATTGAATTGGGTTTGTTACTCACAACTCAAACAAGTCTGACTAATACCTCCTCCTGCCGCTCAGAAACTAGCAACGACTTCCCTCCTCTAAGCAGGAATAACCAAACTCCTTCTGCTGCTACGCAAAAGCCCCTGGCCCCAGCTTCCTCCTTCCCCTGTCCACTCTGAGCCCCACCTCACCCCTGCCTGTGTGTGTGTGTGTGTGTGTGTGTGTGTGTGTGTGTGTGTGTGTCCTGCCTCTTTGGACACCTCCACTTCTCTTAGGCAGTCGAGGCTCAATTCGCAAGCTCTCTCCGAGACCCAGGCCAGCCTCAGGGATACCCTGGCCTCAGTGCATCCAGGCCTGGTCCACGACATTCCTTGACTGTTTCTGCCTTATTCCTGGACGGAGGGGGCGGTGCTTGGAAGGATGGGGCTTCACAGAGCATTGCAGGGGGCGCATTTGTTGGAGGGGAAGCATCTCTTCTGCTCTGCTTCCCCATTACACCTAGCACCGTGTTTCCAGCCGGGAGTGAGAATGTATTAGCATATCAGGCAAGTTCCTTGTCCCCTCTGACCCCAATTTCCCTATCGGTAAAGGAGGTGTGTGTGTGAGGGGGCTGGATTACATGCTTCCAAGAGAAACATTCAAGAGCAGAGGATCCTGCCGAGTCCTGCCGGTTTGGCTCAGTGGATATAACGTTGGCCTGTGGACTGAATGGTCCCGGATTCAATTCCGGGCAGGGGCATGTACCTCAGTTGCGGGCACATCCCCAGTGGGGGGGGGGGGGGGGGAGGGGCAGGGGGCAGCTGATCGATGTCTCTCTGTCATTGATGTTTCTAACTCTCTATCCCTCTACTACCTTCCTCTCTATAAAAAAATCAATTAAAAATTTTAAAAAAATAAAAAGAAAGCCAGGCCAACCCCCCGCACAAGCCCTCTGGCTCGCCAGACGCCGAGCCCAAGGCCTCAGAGCACGTGGCCGGGCAGTGGCGCCCCGCCGTGGCCGCGGAGGACAGCCCCGCCCCGGGGCAGCCGGGAACGCGAGCCCAGCGCCAGGCCGTCCTCCAGGTGCGCGCCGACCTGCGCCGCGCTCACCCCCGAGCGGCCGCGGAGCGCATCGCGGGGCGTCCGGGAGGAACCGGGCGAGGCCCGTGGGGAGCCCTGCGCCCCTCCTCCTCCTCTGCCCCCTCTCCCTTTGCGCTGGCCAGAGCAGACGCTCCAGAAGGCGGGCAAGGGCCGCCATCCTTGGGATCGGAAGGCTCCACCCTCTGCACCTGCCCCCGCCCCCCCCCCACCCCCGCACTGCATTAATTCCCTCCACAGTGAGATTTTAAACCACCGAATCGCCTTGCTCTGCCCTTGATCTGCGCTCAAGTCGAGTCACTGAGAGAGGTTGGACTACTCACTGAGTCGTCCTTTCTCTCCCACCTGCAAAGAGAGGTTTGGGGTCAGGATCAGGGAAAAATAATAGCAAACTAGCATTCACCTTCACCATGTGTTACACGCTATTGTACCAGTGCATCGTCATTTCCGATTTGCAGAAGAGGAAACTGAGTCGCAGAACCAGCGGGGACACGAACTCTAGAATCCATGTTCTCAACACCACGTTCTTGGCTTCAGTCCCCCCCACCCCACCCCAGCCCTGTTCCGTCCAAGCTCCAGCCATCTCAGTGGCCTCACCCCCGTTTTTAAATCTTTAAATCCTTTTTTTTTTTTTTTTTTTTAGCTCGACCTCTCCGCTTCTGGGTGTCGACCCCGGACTAGGGATGTTTCTTTTCCTGGTCCCGCGACTCATGCAACCCCACAGCCTCAAACCCTTAATAGCCTCAGTCCTGGCCCCGCCTCTAGTCCTGCCTTCTCACTGCAGGCCAGCCCCGACACCCCGCCTAGAGCCCACCTCCTCTCCGCAGGCCACGCCCACCTCGTAGGCCACGCCCCTCCCGTGCCGGGTCTCCTATTTCCCCCTTTATTTCGGGCCTCTAGCCCGCCCAACTATCGGAATATGTAATTATAAATCGGCTTAAGCCCCACTGTTGTCTGAGCTCTTTTAAAAAATATATATTTTATTGATTTTTTACAGAGAGGAAGGGAGAGTGATAGAGAGTTAGAAACATCGATGGGAGAGAAACATCGATCAGCTGCCTCTTGCACACCCGCTACTAGGGATGCGCCGGCAACCACGGTACATGCCCTTGACCAGAATCGAACCTGGGACCTTTCAGTCTGCAGGCAGACGCTCTATCCACTGAGCCAAACCGGTTTCGGCTGAGCTCCTCTCTTGGTCTCAAAACTTTCTGGGTAGTTTCTATCCCCTCCCTTTCCCTCTCCCTCTGAAAATCCAGACTCAGATCCTACTTCTCCTCAATGCCACCCCCCAACTCCGCTGCTCTGAGACCCGTGACCCCAGCATTCTGTCCCCAGCCCCTCACCCAACCCTAGGCTCCGCACCGCTTCCCTGCAGGCCGCGCTCCTTCCATCTGGACTCCGCCCTTTCCTTTACCCACTGGTCCGCCCCATACCTTACCCTCCTAGCCCCGCTCCGCTAGGACAGAAGCCACGCCCTCCTCTGGTGTTGCCCCGCCCCTCCCGCCCTCAGGCTCCGCCCCTGTCCTCCGGCCCCGCCCCCAGCTCGGCGCTGCAGCGCCTTCCCCGCCGCGGCCCCGCCCGCCCCGCCGAGCCGAGCACAGGGCGGCGGCGGCGGCGGGAGCGGCCCGGGAGGAGGAGGAGGCGGCGGCGGCGGCAGGGATGGCGGCGGCGCGGTGGGCTCGGTGGAGATGAGTGCCCACGGCCCCAGGCCCAGGGCGGCGTGGCCGGAGTGGGCGGGGGTCCCGATGCAGGCCCGAGGGGGGCCATGGGGCAGGTCCTGCCGGTCTTCGCCCACTGCAGTGAGTAGGGGCAGGCCCCGGCCTGATGTGGGGCCCGGAGGCCCGGGTGGGCTCCTCCCTGGCATCCTGTCCGCGCCACCCCGCCGCGGGAGAGCAGGGATGGGGGAGGGGGTGACGGAGACAAAGGATGCTCTCCCCTCCCCCCGGGATCTAGCGGCCACGGGGGCGACCCGACCCGGAGGACTTGAGTGGCACAGGGCAGAGTTGGGGGGCACTGGGATTAACTGGGCCCTGGCACTGGGATGGGCGGCCAGGCCTCGCCCCGGGATGCGGACGTTTGCTGGGAGCTGTCCCCGCGCCTGGTGCTGGCCGCAGCGAGCGGGCGGGGAGGGCGGTTGGATGGAAGGATAGAACCAGGATGGAAAAGAGAGGTCTGACCGCCCCCCCCATCACCCACCTTCGCATCCCACCTCTGTCTTCTGCCCTAACTCACAGGCAGCCCGACCTCGCCCACAGTGTTCAACCTCCTTCCCCTGGGAAGCAGCCATTCCTGGGCTGGGGCGAGGACTCTGGGTCCCTCCAGGCTTTATCCATGGTTAGTAGTAACCCTGGAAGAGACTCACTCTGCTCCGGCCCTCTGACGCCTGGCATCCCACTCCCCGGCTAAGGAGACAGATGGGAGCGGAAGGCGGCTGATTCCCGTTTCCAAAGGGTACTGAGCATCTCCCGCAGGCAGAGCCCCGAGCTCCGTAGCTGTGAGGGGCTGGATTCCACACCTGGAGAAGCCTGGTCTGACCCTCGCGGGTCTCTGAGCCCCGGGCTCTGGTAGTCCTGGTCTCGCATTCTGTCCCACACTCCCGTGGTCCTGACAGCTGGGGGTTTCCGCACGCTCAGGTCTAGCCAATGGCATGTTCAGATGCCAAAATTCCAAGAATTTGTTATTTCAACATTTTCAAGTATCATCCCCAAATTCTATGATCTTCACTGGGCTCATACATGATCTCCCACCCTGTTTATCATTCGTCATCTCCCACCCTCCTTCCCCTCAGTTATCCTGCTCCAAGCTCACGTTTGCTCCTCTCTTTCCTCAAACATGCCTGCACCAGGGCCTTTGCCCTGAGCTTTTCTGTCTGCCTGGAAGATCCTGCCCTAAATACCTGCATGGATTCTTCGCTTCATTCAGACCTCTGCTCAAATGGCATCTTATCAGAGAAGTCTTCTCACACCCTCTCAGGGTCTCTTCCCTCATCAAGCTTTTTTCTCCTCACACTTAAAGCACCAGCGTCATATATTTACTTGTTTGTTGTCTGTCTCCTCTATAAGCTTTTGAGGGCAGGGATTTTGTCTGTATTGGTCGCAGTTGTATCCTTGGGGTTAAAGCAGTGCCCAGCACATAGTGGGCTTTCACCAAATGGTTGTTGAAAGAATGAGTGAATTGATACCTCCTAAAATCCCTAATTTGAAGTCTGAAATCAGACTTGAACTTCTAAGACTGAGCTTCCGATAGAAATGAGTTAAACTGCCGAAACCAGTTTGGCTCAGTGGATAGAGCGTCGGTCTGCGGACTGAAGGGTCCCAGGTTCGATTCTGGTCGGGGGCATGTACATTGGTTGAAGGCACATCCCCAGTAGGGGGTGTGCAAGAGGCAGCTGATCGATGATTCTCTCTCATCAATGTTTCTAACTTTCTATCCCTTTCTCTTCCTCTCTGTAAAAGATCAATTTTATTTATATATATATATATTTAATATATTTTATTGATTTTTCAGAGAGGAAGGGAGAGAGATAGAGAGTCAGAAACATCAATGAGAGAGAGAGTCATGGATTAGCTGCCTCTTGCACAACCCCCACCGGGGATATGCCCGCAACCAAGGCACATGCCCTTGACCGGAATCGAACCCGGGACCCTTCAGTCTCCAAGCCGATGCTCTCTCCATTGAGCCAAACCGGTCTCAGCAATATATATATATATATATATATATATATATATATATATATATATATATATATATATATATTTTTTTTTTTAAAGAAATGAGTTAGGCTTTGCCCAGCCAGTGTGGCTCAGTGGTTGGGTGTCAATCTATGAACCTGGAGGCCACGGTTCCATTCCTGGTGGGGGCACATGCTGTGAGGGGCTGGATTCCACCACTGAAATCCCAGTGTGGGGTGTGTAGGAGGCAGCCAATGAATGATTCTCTCTTACCATTCATGGTCTCTCTCTCTCTCTCCCTCTTCCTTCCTTTCTGATGTCAATAAAACTATAGTTAAAAAAGAAACAAGTTAGGCTTTACAGTCTGTGTGCAAATGTGAAGGCCCTGGGATTCAAATATTCTAAGATTCCTTAACTCTGACCATCCAAGTTTCCAGACCGGCGCACTCCAGTGATTCAGTCTAAACTTCTAAGAATCCTTTTTTTTAAAATATATTTTATTGATTTTTTCACCGAGAGGAAGAGAGAGGGATAGGGAGTTAGAAACATGGACCAGCTGCCTCCTGCACACCCCCCACCGGGAATGTGCCCACAACCAATGTACATGCCCCTGACAGGAATCGAACCTGGTACCTTTCAGTCCGCAGACCGACGCTCTACCACTGAGCCAAACCGGTTTCAGCTAAATTTCTAAGAATCTTTTATTTTTCCTCCCCTCTCCCAGAAGAAGCTCCATCCACAGCCTCCTCCACCCCTGACTCCACGGAAGGTAAGTGTGTATGTGTGTGTGTGTGTGGGGGGGGGTCGGGACGTGAAAATGAGACCTGAAAGAGGCTCATAGTTGGGCAGGGGGCTGAGGAGAGCGGTCAGGGTCTGAGGAAGGAGGAGGAGGAGGAGGGGGAAGAGGAGGAGGAGGAGGAAAAAGAGAAGGAGGAGGAGGAGGAGGAGGAGGAGGAGGAGGAGGAGGAGGAGGAGGAGGAAAAGGAGGAAGAGGAGGAGGAGGAGGAAAAGGAGGAAGAGGAGGAGGAGGAGGAAGAGGAGGAGGAGGAGGAGGAAAAGGAGGAGGAGGAGGAGGAGGGGGAGGAGGGGGAAGAGGAGGAGGAGGAGGGGGAGCAGCTCAGCCCTCCTTTGCTCACTGCAGGAGGGAACGACGACTCGGATTTCCGGGAGCTGCACACAGCCCGGGAGTTCTCGGAGGACGATGAGGAGGAGACCACGTCGCAGGACTGGGGCACCCCCCGGGAGCTGACCTTCTCCTACATCGCCTTCGACGGCGCGGTGGGCCCGGGGGCGCGCCGGGACTCCGCTGCCCGCCGGCCCCGGCCCCAGGGCCGCTCCGTCTCGGAAACGAGAGACCCAGCCCCCCAGCCCGGCCTGGGCGACAGCCTGGAGAGCATCCCCAGCCTGAGCCAGTCCCCGGAGCCCGTGCGCCGGGGAGACCCCGCCGCCGCCCCCCGGGCCCAGCGCACCCCGGAGGGCCTGGGGCTCCGGCTGGACCAGCTGGGCTGGGAGGCCCGGGGCGCGGGGTCCGGGGAGGACTCCGCCACCAGCAGCTCCACGCCACTGGAGGACGAGGAGCCCGACGGGTCCGAGGCCAGAGAGGCTGGGAAAGGTGAGCTGTCCCCACGTGCTGGGACCAGGCGCGAGGGGCGGGCACTTAGTCTCTTCTCAGGGCACCTCCAAGGTGCGAGCTCATGGCCTTCTCTCTCTAACGCGCCAGAACTGGACCTACAGCTCGGATTCGCTCAGTCCTCGCCGCCCGGAGCCTTGACTCCACAATCCAGCCCTGGCTCTGGGACCCCCCAGGCCCGGACCCCATCCCCACCCGGATCTGGGGATTCGAACTCGTGGCCTGCCGAGCCCTCGCTGGACGAGAAAGAGGAAGAGCCTAGGGGGCAGCTGGATCGGGAGCCAATCACGGGGCAGTGCCTTGTTAGCACGGACCAATCAGAATTCACGCTGGAACCACACCCTCTAGGTAAACTGCTTGCGTGAAGGTGCTCCTTCGTTTTTTCTAATATATTTTATTAATTTTAGGGAAGGGAGAGGGAGAGCTAGAAACATCAATGATGAGAGAGAATCACTGATTGGCTGCCTCCTGTAGCGAAACCCAGGCATGGGCTCCCGGCTGGAATCGAACCCAGGACCCTTCAGTCCACAAGCTGATGCTCTATGCACTGAGCCAAACCAGCTAGGGCGAGGGTTGCAATTTGTAGGGACCAACTTCGCGAAGGAATGGAGGGTGGAGAAGGGAGAAGGCATTACTGTTGGCTGAACACATTAATTCCGCCCCTTAAATGCCCATTATCTAAGATTGCCATGGGCTTTTTATTTTTTTAAAAATATATTTTATTGATCTTATACAGAGAGGAAGGGAGAGAGATAGAGAGTTAGAAACATCGTTGAGAGAGAGTCATCGATCAGCTGCCTCTTGCACACACCCCACTGGGGATATGCCCGCAACCAAGGTACATGCCCTTGACCGGAATCAAACCCGGGTCCCCTCAGTCCCCAAGCCGACGCTCTGTCCATTGAGCCAAACCGGTCTCGGCGCCATGGGCTTTTTAAATATAAATTTCCACTGGCAAGTAAGCCCTTCTGCTAGCATTAGGATGGGCTGATTGCTTGGGGAGGGGGGGGGGGATCCCTCTTTTGGAGTGCTCCCCCTAGAGGCTGATTTTGGACAGGCCAGACCCCAGAAATAATACACTGTCTTCTGGATGTGGCCGTGGGACGTGTATAAAAACTCTGTGCCTTTTACACACTCTCCTCTCCCTGACCACATCCGCTAGCCGGCGGCAAACAGACGCTGCCTTCCTTTCAAAGGCGCCCAGCCTCCGCGAACCGCTTGCAGACCCCGGGGCTGTGGCCGTTTACAAAGAGAACCGCCCCCTTTTGGAGTCGCTCCCCCCTCCGTGGCGAGCCATTGGCCGGGGACGCAGGGCCCCGCCCCCCCTGCTCCCTCCCTCCGGGCTCCGCCGAAGCGGGCAAAAGCCCCGGAAAGCGGTGGTGTCCGCAGCCCTTCCCTCGGAGCAGAGATGGGGAGTAAAGGTGGGCCTGCGGGGCGGGCGGGGCTGGGGCTGGGGGACGGCGGAGAGGGATCCAGATTCCCTCCCGCCCCCAAATCTAGGAGGATGATCCCTATCGGTCCCAGGTTCCCCCAGGCTGCAGGCTGAGGCTGGGGGCGGTTTGGGGGTGTCGAGGGAGAGCGTGGAGGGAGCGTGGGGTACCCTCTTCCCCCAAGACAGGGCTTTGGAGTCTGAGAGCAGGAAGGCGCCCTCCCCCAAGCCTCGGGCCCAGGCGGCGCTGTCACTCAGGAGCCGGACGGGCCAGCACAGCTGCGGGCCAGGCCCCCTCCCCCCTGCGGGCCTAAACTTAGCCCCCGCCTCGGGCGACCCGGCCCCTCCCCCAGCGGCTGGCGCGGGCCTTGGGGAGCCTGCAGGGGAGGCCCCTGCTCCGTCCGGGGTGTCGGGGTGGCCTGCCCTAGTTAAAGGTGGATGGGAGGTGTGTCCAGGGAGGATGCGAGGGGAGTCAGACTCTAAGAAGAACTGTCAGAGTTTGACTGGAGCGAGGGTGAGAGGATGGAGAGCAGCGGGAAGGGTCTGGGCTCCTGGTTCAGGGCGCAGATGGGAGCGGATTATGGGGAGGCTGTTGCAGTGTATGTGGTTGAGGTGAAACCTTGGGTCCGGAGGTTACCGATGGGACCAGAAAGCGGTCAGAAAATTGGGTGAGGGCCGAGGAAGGAGGACGGTGCTTTTAACACATTTGGGACTCAGAACAACGTGCTGGCAGGGATATCACTTTACACGATCAGGTTGCCCCAAAGTAGAAAGAGCAGGGACACCCACGGCCGGGCAGGGTGCTGGGGAAAGATCCCCATCCCGCTGCTGCCCGTGGAAATGAGCATTGTTACAGTCCTGCTAGTAAGCCTCCTGGCAGCCTGTGTGGCACCCACCCAGCCAGCCGTTCCCCCGGGCTTCTCTCTCAGAAAGAGAGAAGATCTGTAGAAGGCTGGTGCTGGCAGCACTGATATGGGAAGGAGGGTGGGAAACAGGGAATGGCCCAGCAATAATTATATGATTGGATACAAGGGCAGTGAAGCTACACTTCAGAGAATTGCGGCCGCTCTGAATTCAAAAAGAACGAATGAAGCGCTATTCCAGTTGACTAGCAGGGAATTCTAGGAGGGAAGGCAGAGAGAGGTATGCGTGATGCAGAAAAGTGTGCATGTGATTCCATTTCTCATAAATAATGGACAAAAATGGGGTCCACACAGAGTCTATGCCTGGAGAAAGATAAAGGGACGTGAGGAGCAGAGGGAGGCGATTTGGAATAAAAGAAGACACTGGAATGTCGGGAACTGGGTTAAGGCTGACACGGCTGTGTCAAGGGGTCATGGCTCGGCCCTGAGACCGGAGGTGGGAGGTCAAGAGGTCAGCCAGGCCGGCCCGAACCCCGGCCTGACCGCCCCCCTCCCTACAGTGGCGGACTTGCTGTACTGGAAGGACACGAAGACGTCGGGCGTGGTCTTCACGGGCCTCATGGTCTCCCTGCTGTGCCTCCTGCACTTCAGCATTGTGTCCGTGGCCGCTCACGTGGCCCTGATACTGCTCTGTGGCACCATCTCTCTCAGGGTTTACCGAAAAGTGCTGCAGGCCGTGCACCGGGGCGACGGTGCCAACCCCTTCCAGTGAGAACCCCAGCCCCAACCCTGACTGTCCAGACCCCGGTGCTGACCCATGACCTCAGTTCAGGCACCAACGTCTCACCCTGGTCCTGGCCCGTCCTGTTCCTCTTCCTGGCTCCAACCTGCCCCTGCCCCTGACCAAACCAGGCTCTGACCCTTCCCTCCCAGCCCTAACGTGGAATCCTAACCTCTCAGCCTTCATCCTGGACCCCCTCTCCTGACCCTGACCTTGACCTTAGACCTCTACACCTGGCCTTGCCCCAAACCCCACTTTTTTTTTTTTTTTTTTTAAATATATTTTATTGGCTTTTTACAGAGAGGAAGAGAGAGGTACAGAGAGTTAGAAACATCGATGAGAGAGAATCATCGATCAGCTGCCTCTTGCACACTCCCTACTGGGGATGTGCCCGCAACCAAGGTACATGCCCTTGACCGGAATCGAACCTGGGACCTTTCAGTCCGCGGGCCGACGCTCTATCCACTGAGCCAAACCGGTTTCAGCCCAAACCCCACTTCTTGCCCTTGTTCCAGCCATACCTCTCAGCCTGGGCCTCCCCTCCTCCCCTCCCCCGCTGCCCATGGAGTCACCTCACACCCTGTGTCCCCTCAGGGCCTATCTGGACGTGGACCTGACCCTGACTCGGGAGCAGACAGAGCGTCTGTCCCAGCAGATTGCCTCGCAGGCGGTCTCGGCGGCCACCCAGCTGCGGCATTTCTTCCTGGTTGAAGACCTGGTGGACTCCCTCAAGGTGCCCAAGCCCCCCTCCTCCCCTGGGTTCCCAGCACGCACCATCCTGCCCCCGGGGGGGGGAGAGGGCCATTTCGGGGTGAGCTCGCAGCCTGGGGAGCGCCTGGGGACTCTGCTGACCCTGACCCTCCCCCCAGCTGGCCCTGCTCTTCTACATCCTGACCTTTGTGGGTGCCGTCTTCAATGGTTTGACTCTCCTCATTCTGGGTGAGCTGGGAAGGCCGTGGGGGGCCGGGTGAGGAGGTGGGTCCCTGAGGGGGACGGGGACCTGGATGGAATTGTTAATCTCTCATGAGAACCCTGACAAACCCCCCCCCCCCCATCTCTGTGCCCACAGGAGTGATTGGTTTGTTCACCGTCCCCCTGCTGTACCGACAGCACCAGGTGAGTGTGGCAGTGCTCTGGCTGCCCCCCCCCTACAGTCAGGGTCCCATTGACAGATGTCCCCACCAGAGACAAGAGGACCCGCTGGTGTTTCTGCTCCTGAAAAGACCCAGTCTGACTGACATAGGTCCCAGGCGGCCACAGGTGCTCTGGCTGCTGCCCCTCCATAGAGCTAGTGTCTAACAGACATTTAAACGGCCAGAGACAGGCATTTTTTAGAAATATATATTTTATTGATTTTTTTAACAGAGAGGAAGAGAGAGGGAAAGAAAGTTAGAAACATCGATCAGCTGCCTCCTGCACACTCCCCACTGGGGATGTGCCTGCAACCAAGGTACATGCCCTTGATTGGAATTGAACCTGGGACCCTTCAGTCCGCAGGCCAACGCTCTATCTACTGAGCCAAACCAGCTTGGGCTGGAGATAGGCATTTTGATTGGTGTCCCCTAACAGAGCCAGGACTTGACGGACATGCCCCAGCCCAAGGCAGTGGGTAACAGATGCTCCACCTGAGGTCTGACGGGCAAGTCCTGGCTGCAGGGAGTCAGCCTCTCTGATGTCTCCTGTCCCTGGCACAGCCTCAGACGGAACAACATGCATCCCAGCCAGAAACAGGCGGACAGGTTCAGGCCTTCTCCCCCTGGCACCACCAGAGATGGACAATACATATTCCAGCTGCAGACAGACAGACAGACTGACGCCATCTATCCTCACAACGTAGTCTGGGTCTGATGGACACCATCCCAGGTGGACCGACGGACGCTCTCACGCCCTAAAACATGGCCAGGGCCTGCCGTCTCCGTCAGAACCGGTGGATGACTTTTGCCCAGGATGCTGACAGAACCAGGGCCAACTGACATACATCCTGTCCAGAGACAGACAGATGGACTGACACGCCCTCCTCCAGCGCCGCTGAGAGTCCAATAATACATGTCCCTCCCAGATAGTCCTGCCTTCTTCACATGCTGGAACCATCCAGACCTCAACGTCAACCAACTCTACGGATTAAACTAGTATTTAAACCAATGACAGCTAACAGCAATGCCGCCACTTTCACACTATTCCTGTACACACACACACCCCTCACTCAAAGACGAACAGTCATGCCCAGGAAACAGACTCACTGTCAAACTCTCAGTCTACCTGACACCTCTCCCCACACAGAATGTGGCCCGAACAACCAACACTTCCCACTTGAACTTCTGTCTTTCAGGGTATTTCGTCGGGTTTAAAGTTGAAAGTGGAGTGGTGGGTCATCCATCCCCCCAAACCCTGATTCGGATGTGGGGGAGAAAGCAGCCTCCTGCATAAACTAGCAAGAGGGACCCCCTCTAACCTCTCCTTTGATCCTCTCTTGGTCTCCCCAGGCCCAGATTGACCAGTATGTGGGGTTGGTGACCAATCAGTTGAGCCACATCAAAGCTAAGTAAGGGGCACGGGATGGAGATGGGTGAGATGGGGGGGGAGGGGGCGGTGAGAACTCCTCATTCCCTGTCCCTAAGCCTCCTGGGGCTGAGTGCCCCCTTCTCAAAGTAGGGTGCCAGACAATTCCAACGCAAGCCATGCAGTGGAGGGCAGGGCTCCCTTTGGGGACTCAGCTAGCTCTCCCAACCCAGCTTTCCCTTCAGCTCTCTCCTAAGTTCTCAGAATTGTTCATTCTGAATTCTCAGCGTCTTGCCCCACGTGACTCTACCTGTTTCTCCCTCAGGATCCGAGCTAAGATCCCAGGGACCGGAGCCCTCGCCTCTGCAGCAGCCTCAGCCTCCGGATCCAAAGCCAAAGCCGAATGAAAAAAAGGGCGTCTCTGTCTGCGGGACGCCTGCCCCCACCACCTGCAGCCCTCCGTACCCCTCTTCCGTCTCCCTTCCATCCCCACCCTCTTCCCTTCTCAGCCCCAGCCCTATCCGGGCGGGTGTCTGCAGCACGCACACCAGGCGCTAATTGCCTGAGCGGCCAGGACTACATTTCCCAGGAGGCTCTGCTCTAAGAGCCCAGGAAAAGAGAGGCACCTTGGCCGAGGTCCTGCTGGTACTTGTAGTTGTCTAGCGAGGGCACCCGCCCTGCACTTACCCAGCCGCCGCTGGAGGCGCCGGGAGGGGCTGGTGTCTTCTGGACGCTACTGGGCCCAAGCCTGGGCTTTGCATGGGGCCCAGGGGAGGCCTGAGCTTGGATTTACACTGGAATAAAGACTTCTGTGGAAAAAACCAGGCTCCTGGTTCTTCATGCCCCCCTCCAGCTTTCACCTTCCTTCACCAAAAGGTACGTAAGCGACACTCAAGGAGGAACCGGGTTCCCCATGTCTGCAGAGGAAGCCCCTGATAAGGTGACCAGACGTCCCGCTTTTGGCGGGAACATTCCGATTTAAAAAAAAAAAAAAAAATTGTTCCGCGGCGGGATTTTTTATCGGGACTTATTTATTTATTTATTTATTTATTTTTAAAATATATTTTATTTATTTTTTACAGAGAGGAAGAGAGAGGGATAGAGAGCTAGAAACACCCATGAGAGAGAATCATCGATCAGCTGCTTCCTGCACACCCCCGACAAGGGATGTGCCCGCAACCAAGGTACATGCCCTTGACCGGAATCGAACCTGGGACCTTTCAGTCCTCAGGCCAATGCTCTATCCACTGAGCCAAACCGGTTTCAGCAAAATCGGGATTTTTTTTAAAATGACCATCTGTTTAGATCATGGAATGGTTGCAGGAAGGAGGCCTAGAGTCTATTGCCCAATCCTTGGCAGCCACTTCCAATTCCTGTGCTCCAGGCAGCACCCCAGTCATTCCCCACACTCTGCCTGCCCCACAGACATCTCATCTGAGATCCGGACACACGGCCACTGCCTCCTGAACCACGGCCCCGTAAACATACCCACACTCATAACTTACCCTACCTGATTGCTATAGGCAGTGTTTCCCAAACTTTTGACATATGTGTACCCCTTCTATAATTTCCGTAACGCTGAGGACCCCTCGTATTCATGAGAACGTAGAATTAAACGCAGCTAAACACGGTGCAGTGCATATCCCCACCGAACTCCGGTGCAACGCGTACCCCCACCAAACTCTTCCCGTGCCCCTGAGGGTACCACACTTTGGAAAACACTGCATAGAGGGATGTCCTCTCTGTCACCGGGCCTGAGACTTCTACTCCCTCACATCTGATCAACCACAAAGCCATGTCTATTCCGTCTCCCAAACGTCTCTCACCCACCCACTTCACTCTGTCCCCGCTTGGCCTCTATGGCCCTCGGGTTCCAAAACGGTAGCCCGAGCGAGGAAGAGAAACGACACTAAAGTCTGAAGATTCACAGGCCTGAACTTGAATCCCAGCGTCACTGCCCCTCGGCTGTGTGACCTTGAGCGAGGGAGTCACCTCTGGAAGCCTTGGTTTCCTCAAATGGACACGTGTCCCCAGAACCATCTCCACGTGGGAAGCCCCTGCCGCAGGGCCTGGCCCATCACAGGTGTCCGTTCCGCAGAAGCTGCTGTTGTTACCTGTGACAGGATTCCCCAGACCAAAGCCCTTCCTTCAGCTCCTTCACCATCACTCTGTCACCTGTTCTGCTACGTAACTGATATTTTTTCTTCAAATTGGTTTATTAAAAAAATAATAAATAAATAAGATAATAATGAAAGCCCTGGATGGGTTGATTGGAGTGTCCTCCCTACATGGAAAGATTGTGGGTTGATTCCCAGTCAGAACATATACCTGGGTCACCAGTTCAATCCCCAGTGGAGCATGTATGGAAGGCAAAGGATCACTCTCTCTCTCTTTCAAATCAATGAACAGATCCTGGGGTGAGGAATTATTTTTATTTTTTAATATGTATTTTAAAAATACGTTTTTATTGCTTTATGGAAGGAGGGTTTATGGAAGGAGGGTTTATGGAAGGAGGGAGAAGGATAGAGAGATAGAAACATCGATGAGAGAGAAACATTAATTGCCCAACCCCCCCCCCCCACCACCAGGGATCAAGCTGGCAACCCTGCTGGGAATCCAACCATGACCTCTTGCTTCCTAGATCCATGCTCAACCACTGAGCAACACAGGCTGGGCTTGGGTGAGAATTAAAAAAAAAAAAAAAAGACAAATGTCCTTTTAAAGGAAATGTTACTTAATCCCTAAGGAGGTCAGTAGCACTTGCCAGAAATAGACAATAACAGTAACAAACACAAAATTATTAAGATTTAAAATGTTTGTTAGTAACAGAATAACAGGTCTTGGGGGGCAGGGGGTGCAGGAAGAGAGTAACCAAAGAACAAGTATGCATACTAGAGGCCCAGCACATGAAATTTGTGCAGAGTGTGTGTGGGGGGGTCCTCAGCCCACTCTGTGCCCTCTCGCATGGGGATGCCTCAGGGCCCTCAGGGGATGTCTGGCTGCCAGCTTAGTGCTTTTGTGGAAGTGGGAGAGGCTCCTGCCACCCCAGTTGCACCCACCAGCCTCTAACCTGGCAGCTTCTGGCTGAGCTGTGCTCCCCCTCGGAAGTGCACTGACCACCAGGAGGCAGCTCCTGTGTTGAGCTTCTGGCCCCTGGTGGTCAGTGCACATCATAGTGACCAATCATTCTGCCCTGTTTGGTCAATTTGCATATTACCCTTTTATTATACACTGAGTGGCCAGATTATTATGATCTCTGAACGCATAGTAATCTGGCCACTCAGGGTATATAAAAGCCTAAGCTACCAGCCGTCTGACTGGTAGCTATGATGCGCACTGACCACCAGGGGGCAGACGCTCAATGCAGGAGGGGAAAACCACAGGCATGGAAACATGGAACAGATGAATCTCAAAGGGAAGAGGGGAGAGGGGAGGGCGGAAAGAGATTAACCAAAGATCTTATATGCATACTAGAGGCCCCATGCACAGACTCATGCACCGATGGGGGGTCCTTTGACCTGGCCTGGGCCCTCTCACAATCTGGGACCCCTCAGGGAAGGTCGGAAAGCCGGTTTCTGCCAGATCCCAGCAGGCCGAGGACCTTTAGTAACAGTAATAATAGTCTCTCATTCATCCTACAAGTATTTACTGAGCATCATCTGCTACCTGCTCAAGCACTCTTTTGGCACTAGAGACACGGAAATGAACCAAAACTAAGTCCACTAGCATAGTTTCATGGAGCTAATATTCTGGCGGAACAGACAGACGGTAAGCAAATAGACCCAGACTGCAGCAGAGTGATGGAGCAGAGGCCAGCAGAGTGAGGGGATAGAGTGACAGGACTTGCTATTTTAAACTGGCTGGTCAGGGAAGGTCTCATTAAGTGGTGATACTGGAGCAGAGGCCAGGGTGAAGGGAGGCAGGGAGTCATGTGAGCCTGTGCAGGAAAGCAGATTCAGGCAGGGCGACTGGCAAACGCAATGTCCCTGAGAGGGAGTTGGCCTGGTATGTGCAGCAGAAACTCTTTATGCCAAAATTCAAGTCAACGAGGAGAGAGGAATAGATGGGGTCTGAGGGGTGGAGGGGGCTGGGCTATAGGGATTTATTTGTAAGGCCGTGGTGAGAACTTTGACTTTTACTCTGAGATGGGAGCCATGGGAAGGTTTCATGTCGGGGAATGATATTGTTGATAAAGGATTCCTGAGTAAAAAAAGGAGAGGGGGAATTATTTATATATATATATATATATATATATATATATATATATATATATATATATATATATATTTTTTTTTTTTTTTACAGAGAGGAAAAGAGAGGAGGGGTAGGCAGTTAGAAACATCAGTGAAAGAGATTCACTGATCAGCTGCCTCTTTTACACCCCCTACTGGGAATGTGCCCACAAGCAAGGCACATGCTTTGACCCGAATCGAACCCGGGACCTTTCAGTCCGCAGGCCGACGCTCCATCCATTGAGCCAAATCTGTTTCAGCTAAAGGGGTGACCTTTTTAGTAATAATAATTATGATGGCACAGGTTTGGTTCCCCCAGGTACGCGGTGGGCTGCGTTGAATAATGGGTGCTGTTCGTTTCTAAGCCTCAGTTTCCCCGGGCATAAAATGCAGGTACAGAAATGGGTGGTCCTAGCGGCTAAGCGGAATGGGGACAGAATTTCTGTCATCCCCCTAGCACCTAGGACAGTGCCTGGGACGCAGTGGGTGCTCAACTATTTGAATTATCAGAGGTGTTCGTAAGTCGCTGCAGTTCCTTGAAAGAACAGCAGGTGTCGCCTCAGCCCCATAGCCGCCTGCCAGAGCCTCCCGGCTTTGGTTAAATCAGACCCTAGCAGAAACCCTCTCACTCGAATTCGGGTTTTTCAGGAAAGGGACTTCCGAAGACCAAATTATGAGTCTCTTCTCTTGAAAAACGGATTTCTCACTTGAAAAAAGCGGGTTCTGGCCCTTTAACAACTGCAGTAGAGTGGGCCAGGTTCTCGGGAACCGTTTCCCAGAATGCGCGGCGTTATGCAAATAGCGGTTTCCAAAGCGAAGATGATTCGTACCATGTGAGACAAAGATAAAATTTTGGAAGTCTATCAGTCATAATAAATAACTGGTAGGAAGTTTTGGTTCTTAAAGTAAACAATCCCATACTCTTCCAAACTTTACAACCATAAATGTAAAAGGATAAAAATTTCTGTGCTTTATATAGCTGGACGAGGGGAGGAATGTTTCGCCCGGATGATCCTCAGTGGTCTGGGGTGCAGGCTTCAAACCTGTAGCTGTCTAGCGACAGAGTGGTTCAATTCCACCTTTCGGGCGACATGGCTTTCTTTTCTTTTTTTTTTTTCTCCCAAAATGAATTTAAGAGTGCAGATTGACGCCAATGCCTGGAGAGGTCGCTGCAGTCCTCTGCATCACCCTGTCTCCGAAACCTCGCGGGTTTCTTCCGGCGGTTAAATCTTTCCCGCGAAATGTCAAAAGACGAAGAAAAGCTCATCTACCCTCTCAGTGCTAGGATATGTGGTTTCAGAATTATATTGGATTTCTCCCTTTCACTCACCTACTCAGTCATTTGTGCTCACGCGTGCACAAATTAAACCAGTTAAATATGTATTCATTTTTATTAATGCATTCACTTATTCAATAAGGATTTGTTCCATGCCTGGCCCTGTACTGGGCGGTGCTGCCAGTCCAGCGGAGAAGACAAACATCAAACAATCATTAATTAGAAAGGTGATGACTACCGAGAAGGAAAGTACAAAGTATATGAGACTATCTAATAAGGAGAGCTGAGTGTAGGTGGGGTCTCAGGGTAATATTTGAGCAGATACCTGAGGATGAGAGGGGATTAGCCAGCAGCAAGGGTGGGGGTGGGGGTTAAGATATTCCTAGTGGGAATCAAGGTGGCCCCAATAATGACGATGGGAGCAGTGATAATTGCTTTCCCACTAGCTCACTGACTCCTCAGTACCGGCCATTATGCAGCGGGAGAAACTGAGGTCGGAGAGATGAAGTTTCTCATCCAAGGTCACCCAGCTTTGGCGGGCCTCCAGCCCCAGGTGCCCTGGAGCGTGCTATGGACCACTTCTCTGTACCTTCTTTTGCAAGCCAGCTACTCACCAAGTCCCGTCTGCTCTACCGCTGCAATTACTTTTATTTTATTTTATTTATTTATTTATTATTATTTTTATTTTTAAGGTATTATATGTGTACATATCTTTCCGTTGCTCCCCCACGCCCATACATGCCCTCCCCCCTGCAATTACTTTTAGATCCTTTGCCTCCCCTCTCTCTCCCACAGCCATGGTCATGTTCCAAGACCCCCTCACACTCAGCGTCCCCACCCTGGCATCCTCCCTAGTCTCGCGCTGGCTCTTGCCCCTTTCTCTCCCAGCTACCGTTCTCCTGAAAGGCGAAGGGGAGTCTTCCGAAAGCATAAAACTGTCCCCGCCCTTCTTGTGCCCAAAACCTGCCCTGGCTCCCCAGTGCCCTCAAAAGAAGATCTAAACTCTTCATCTGGAATTGATGTTTGCGGGATGTGGTCCCTGCCAACTTTTTCCTCTGGACCTTCTGTCCCAGCTACTGTGAACCTCCAGCTTCCTCAGAGTATCAAGCTCTCTGTACTCACCGCCCCAGTCTTTCCCTACTTATTTCCTTCTACACTCCCTTCTTATCCTCTAGGACTCAGCTCAGCTGTCCCCTTCTCAAAGAAGTCTTTCCTGACTCCAAGACCAGATTAGAAGCCCCCACACTCTGGGCTCCCCCAGGTCCATGGACTCTCGCAATCCTGTCCACTTTGGGTCATCCCTGACTGTGTACCCCACTGGACCGTGAACCCTAGGAGAGGGTAGCCTGGCCTATCTCAGTCCCTGCAGTGTCTCCAACACTGCACAGCAGAGGGCTAGGTGCATAGCAGGTACATAGTAAAAATTTAAAAAGTAACTAATAACCCTGACTGGTTTGGCTCAGTGGATAGAGCATTGACCTGGGGACTGAAGGGTCTCAGGTTCAATTCCAGTCAATTCCAGTCAAGGGCATGTACCTTGGTTGTGGGCACATCCCCAATAGGGGGTGTGCCAGAGGTGGCTGATCAATGTTTCTCTCTCATTGATGTTTCTAACTCTCTATCCCTCTCCCTTCCTCTCTGTAAAAATAAAAATAATAAAATAAATCATTAAAATATATTTTTAAAAGCAAATGAAAAGGAACTAATAAAATCCGTGACAACTTTCTCTGCTTGCTCATTTAAGTTACTAGGCACCTGAATGACCTCTGGAACATCACGTTCACTCCCGGAGCGCCTGCTGCTCTGTCAGTAAGTGTGGGCTTGGGCTTTGTAATGGGGATGGCTCAGCCGTGTCTCTGGCAAAGTGACAATCCTTCTACTTTAGTCAATGGTGGGCTGACCCTGATGTGTTCCTAAGCCAGAAGTAGTCATGCGAATACTAAATGGGAACCAACTCATCTTTAGATTTCTCATCGCCTGTGTTTTTGGAGTGCACACGACTTGCAAAGCCCAACTTAAATGTTCTTCCAAGAGTCGGGAGGTATATTCTTCCAGCTGCTCTACTTGGCAGTTTTTGCTCAAACCATCCCCGGAGCAGACAGGGTCCCACAGATTCCTTCCTCATAAGGAAACCTCCCCGGCCCTTGAGTATTTCAGTACTACACACTCCACAGCTGATATTCTGCTTTTTTTTCTAGCAGGAGGCACAACCTGTGAGTGGGAAGTCCTCCTGACTCTCTACCCTCCCTCCATCCTGCTGCAGTCTGATTCACTCGCAGGAGTTGTGTGTGTGCGTGTGAGAGAGAGAGAGAAAAAGAGAGAGAGGTCCCCGCAGCAATCCAACCTTCCCTCCCTCGTGTTGAAAGGCAGGTGACGGGTGTCAGGAGAAAAACAGATCCCGAGGCTTGGTGGATACATCTCAAAGAGCTTTTTATTGGCGACAGTGCAGAACCATGGGGGGGAGGGTGGTGGCCCAGTGCCAACCAGTCCCAGCCCCCGGGGTCAGGTGCAAAATACAAAAAGAGAATCACAAATACAGAATGGAATTCAATACATCACGGTCGGCAGGGGCAAGCCCTGCTCACAATCTCACACTGGCACCCAGAATTCTTAGAGACACAGACCACAAAAGTCTGTGATCCCTCAGGTTTCCTCACAAAAAATAAAACATGTCCCCAGCGAACCCACAGTCAGAAGGCAGCTGGCCCATCAGGGACGGTCACAGAAGGAAGACAGATGGCAATGGTCAGAGAAACACGGGCTGAGGGGAGACAGGGGCGGGGAGACAGCCAGGGACTGCCGGGAACACCCCGAGGGGCTGAGACCGTCAGGAAAGACACAGCTAGAGAGAGACAGGCCGGCAGGGGCAGCTGGAGGGGGCCAGGCTGCCTCCCGATCCCCAGAAGCAGCGTTTCCCATTCAGGGGCTTGGCTGTGGGGCCAACGTGACCAAGGTTAAGGTTGAGGTTGCAGAAGCGCTCACACTCGCGCGCGCGCGCGCACACACACACCCATATATAATATATTTATTTATACATAATAGATATAAGTGCCTTTCGGAAACCAGGAAAGGGATAAATAGCTATTTGGGGGCGGGGGGAGTCTGGGAGGCGCGGGTGGGGCACGTGGAATGTTCTCCATGCAGCACGAGGGGGGCCTGGCCCACCCGAATTTTCAAAAAATATCAGTTTGCTTCACAATGAAATTCTCATGAGGTGAAGCCCAAGGAAAGGCGGGGTGGGGGAGCCAAAACCAACATTTGGGACTGGGGTGGGGGGTGGGGAGAGGAAGCTGGGGTCACGGGCGCCCAGCCCCCTTCCAGTTCACCAGTCCAAAAATATTGGGGGGTTGGGGAACCAAAGCCTCAGCCTTTACATCTTCTCCGGAAAAATGGGGGCCCCCCGCTGGCAACCCCCTTTTCTAGGTAAGAGGTGGGGGTGCCAAGGGGAGGGAGAACGCGGCGTCCTAGGCCGGGGCAGGGGATAGGCCACACATGGGGGGCGGGGGGTCCTGAGGAGAGAGGCCAAGCGGGTGGGGTGCACCACTGTCACCCCCTTGAGTCTAACTCACCGTGGAGGGGAGGAAGGAGGCGGACGGGGGAGAGAGACCAGGAAGAGGCTTGGGGCGCACAATCCCTCAGCCAGGGCTCTGTCCCACCCGCCTCCCCTCCCCATCCTCCCCCCACAACAGGCCAACCCATTTCACAGTATAAACACTCCAGCAGGACGGGCGCCGCAGCGCCCCCTGCTGCCCGGACCAGAGAGGCCCAGCCAGGAGGGCCGGCGGCGGCCTGGGACTAACACTGTCATCAGGCCGAGGCCGGCGGCCCGGCTTCCACGGGGAGAAATCCAATCAGTCAAAGGCGGTTTTGCCGGGAGGGATGGGGGGGGGGGGGACCCTCAGGGAGGGAGGTTCACATTTCAGACTGAGTCTGGGCCGGGGAAGGCGGTCCCCGTCGGGGGACACCAGCTTCCCTTTCCCTCCAAAGGGGGCTCAATTCAGAGGAGGATCGAACACGTGAACGTGCCGGATAAACGGATAAATACGCTCAGGCCGGGGCCGCAGGGAGAACCGGCGGGCCACCCCCTGAGGGCGGGTCTGGGGGACCCCGGGGCGGGTTCTGGGCACGTCCTGGCTGGGCCTCTCCAGCCCACACCCCTCGGCCCACGCCAGCACCCCCTCCCCCTCCGCCAGCCCACGGCTGGGCATCCCCCCACCCCCTCAGCCCCCAGAGATCCGGTTGAAGTGAGACGACCAACAATCAGGCAGCTGGGGTGTCCATCCCCTCCCCACCCCCTGCCCCCAAAGTCACCAGCTCCCCCGCCTCGCGGGGCCACAGACACGAGAGGCCCCCCTGTCCTGTCCGGGCGGAGGCTGCAGAGTCAGCGGGAGAGGCGGGGGGTGGGGGGGGGGCTGGACACCCCAGCTCCCCTCCTCCTCCTCCTCCTCCTCCTCCTTCAAGTCTCCCCCGAGTGTTTGTCTGTTTTGAGTCTAAGAGTTCACAGAGCGAGAAGGGAGGGCGAGGTGAGGGGGTCGGAAGGCTGGTCGCTGCCGCTGGGGCGATGGGCGCCGGCGAACGCGGAGACCTCCGGGCAGGTGAGGACAAACGAAGAAGTGTACGAAGGGCTAACAACGGGGAAGGGGTCGCCGAGGACTTGGACTTCACTGTGTGCAAAGAGAGAAGCTGTCAGGGTGGGGGCTGCGTCCTGGCCGGTCTGGAAGGGCAGGGGCGGTGGTGGCGGGGGCGGCAGCAGCCAGCCGAAACCGTCTTCCTTAGCGGGCGCCGGCCCCGGCCCGTCTCTCACCTCCGCCAGCGGCCCGGGGCCCGGCCCCTCTTCGTAGGGGATCTTGCAGCCCGGCTTGTGGGCCACCAGCACAAACTCCAGGCGCTCCTTCTCCTTTTGCAGCTCGGCGATCTCCGACTCCAGCTCGGCCTTCTCCTCCTCCAGCTGGTCTGTCTCCTGAGCCCCCAGGCCGTGCGGGAGAGGAAGGACAGAAAGACCGTGAGCCACTGGCGGTGGTGGCGGGAGCCGGGAAGCCACATCCCGGGACTGGCTGCGAAGGCCCAGGGCTGGAAGGCAGCTCTGGCTGAGAGGACGGCCCCCTGAGGTGGGGGGTCCTGGTGCAGGGGAACCAGCCGGGGCTCGGGGGCTTGTGCCTTTGAGGAGCCTCAGTTTCCCCATCTGCCCAGGGAGTGGTGCAGAAGCAGCCAGGCGCACATGGATGGCTCTGGTTTGTTGAGCGAGTGAAGGTTGTTATGGCTGTCATGCCACCTCTGCGGCCAAGGTCCTGTGTCCCAGGAAGGGGACAGGTGGCCCATGGAAGCACAGACTTTCCTGGATCCTGCAGGAGCAGCAGGCCACCCCCTGGCCCCAAGCAGGACGCTCTCCGGGGGAGGAAGGAGGTCAAAGGGGAGGGGGACTGCTGGGCGCCACCAGCCACAGTCTAAGCCACAGTCTAAGAACTAGGGCTGGAGACCTAACGGGTTTGGCTCAGTGGAGAGAGCACCGGCCTGCAGACTGAAAGGTCCCAGGTTCGATTCCCGTCAAGGGCATTCACCTTGGTGGCAGGCACATCCCCATTTGGGGGAGAGGGGGGGCAAGAGGTAGCTGATTGATGTTTCTAACTCTCTCTCCCTCTCCCTTCCTCTCTGTAAAAAAAATCAATAAAAAAAATATTTTTTTTTAAAAAAAGAACTAGGGGTGGCTGGATAATGGGGAATGGACATCGGCTAGGAGGAGTTCAATTCATAGACTCTCTGGAAAGTTCAAGCTGGAAGGGGCTTGGGAGATTGGGCAAGGGGAGGAAGAGATGGAGAAACTGAGGCAAAATGGGTTCTTGCTTGCCCGAGACCAAAGGGGGGGAATGCCCTCAGCTCCCCTCTATTCAAGTGTCATCATGTGTCACCTCAGCAGGAAGTGAAGGCCAGGAGAGTGGTGTGTGAGGGGTAAGGGGTGGGAGTGGGGAGTCATAAACCTGGGCTAGGGGCCAGGGTTGAGGTGAGTATGTGAGAGTCTGGGTGTGTGCACAGGGGGACTCTGTCTGGCCTCGCCCCTCCCTGGTTTCACACGTGGAAGCTCTGGCTCTCAGCCCAGGATAAGGAACAGAGGGTGGGGACGGAGGCCCCCTTCAGCCTACCCTCCCCCCCCCCCCCCCAGGGGCCATCCTCACCGCCTGCAGTCGATCAGTCAGCTCCCTCCGACGGTTCCTGCATTTAGCTGCTGCCAGCTTGTTTCTTTCCCGGCGAACCCTTCGCTTCTCCTCCTCCTCCGGGGTAAGCTGAGCAGGGGAGGTAAAGGTCATGAGGTTTGGGAACATGGAGCACCTCCTCTACCGCCCCCTGCACCTCCTCTTCTCCCAGAACCCCCAGGAGCCAGCCAAGGACTCTCTGGTCCTCGCCAGCGGTGGCAAGGACGATAGGGTTCCTGCAGCACTGAGGCCTGAGCGGCCCCTCACCCCAATATGAGCCAGAGGCCCCCCCACCCCAACATGAGGAAGTTCCTGCCTCTTTGTTCCCTCTCCCCGGATGAAGTTCTGATGCCTCTTACTCACCGTCTCCTCCCGGGGTCTCCTGGGCCGGGCTCGGGATGGGCGGGCGGGCCCAGGTCCACTGGTGGTTCCGCTGGTGGAGGGCCCACCGCTGCCACCGGCTCCGCCACTGCTGTAGCCACTTATGCCTGGGGTGGAGTAGCTGGTTCCAGGCATGTCATAGGGGTCGACGGCCGGGGGCTGGGAGCCCAGTGGCTGCCCCTGGGACTGAGCCATGGAAGAGATGAGGGTGGGTTGCACGAGCCACTGAAGGTCCTGGCTGGTTGTGATCGCGGTGACCGTGGGCACGAAGGAACTGGGCATTTCCCCAAGCCCGGCGCACTCCTACGGGGTGACACATACACACACAGGCGTAGACACACAAACAGAGACACCGACACACACACACCCAGCACACATACACACACCGACCCCGTGAGTGAGCACAGGGGGAGCGGGTGTGGATGTGTGTGTCACAGGCAAAAAGCCACAACACCCACCCTTCCACTACACCGTGACGCAGTGGTTAATGAGAGGATCTCTGCTCAACTGGCTTCTACCTCCTCCTTCTTCCTCGGGGAAAGGTTGCACGGTTCCAGCGGGTGGTGAATCACACCCCGAGTTGGTGACTCTTAGGTGTGGGGGGGGTGGGGGGAAGGCTGGACACAGCCGGGTGACAGAAGCCCCGGAGAGAGTCACAGCCACACACACAGCCACTACACCCCACCCCCACCCCAGAGGCAAGGGGAGGGAGAGGGAGAGGCCTCAGGCCAAGCCTTCCTCTACACGCGTGCACACACACACACCCCTCTGAGTGAGAGGATGAGCGGTGGGGGGGTCCGCGAGACCTCCCGCTGCGCAGGGGCGGGGGTCCCGGTTCAAAGGGTGTTGGGAGGTGGGCCTGGGAGTTTAGAACAACGTTTCAAGTGATTGTCTCTCCCCAGAGTGGGGCTGGCAGTGACAGGTTCCGATGGACGCCCAGGTAGGGGAAAACGACAACCCGGGCTCCCTCAGCCTGTGGCGGAGAGGGGATGGTATAGGTCCGGAGCCCCCAAGCCCAAGCGGCGCCCATCTCCCCAATCCCCACTCGGTATCCCAGAACTGCTCCTAACGCGAACTACTCTCCCCGGGGGCGTGGTGAGGGATGGGCTGGTCCGCTGGCCAATCAGCGTCCTGGAAGCCCGGAGGGGGCGGGGCTCCCGGAGACCACCTGGCTGCTTCCCCCAGAGTTAGCGGTTCTAGTCCTGAGGGACCCGGAGTCCAGAGCAGAGGGAGCTCGAGTGTGCCTGTGCCTGGAGAAGCTATGACGGTCACCCTATCTCCCGAAGAACCCCCTGCCTGCAGACAGACATCCCCTTTCCCCCCGAGAGCGGAGGGACCGGACCCTCGGCCGGGGCTCGCAGACCCATGGTGTCGCAGAGGGTGGCTCCTGTCGCGACCCGATCCCCTCGCTCTGCTTCTAGAGGCCCGATCCCCTCGCTCTGCTTCTAGAGGCCCGCAAAGGGGACCGTGGCGCCGAGAAACCCGGGGCTCCAAGGACAGAGTGGGAAGGAAGGGAACGGCACCATAACAAATAGGAAGGGGAAGCTGATTGGCTAAGGCTCGCCGCGCGGCGACCAATCGGAGCGCCGAGCTGCTCCCTCCCTAGCAACGTGGCCCTGCCGTTCCAAAATAGAACGCTCCCGGGACGTCAGGGGCGGGGCGGACGGAGGGGGCGCCGTGCGCCGTGCGTGCCTCGCGTCAGACGGAGGGTTCCAGCACGTCAGCCGTTACGCACAGGTCCCCCGTTACGTCTCCACGCAGGAGGCGGAGGCAGTGCAGCCGAGATTTCGGCCCACCTTCCCGCTGCATCGGGAGCTACAGCGCTCGAGTGGGCGCTCCGATGGAGGAGGTAAAGGGGGTGGGGGCTGCTGGACGCCTCCCCGGGATTCCCCCCACCTGCCGAGCCGCGCTAGAGTGGGGACTTGGGCCGGGGACAGTCCCGGAGCCCCCAAAAAGTCCTTCGTCCGGCTGCCGCAGACTACATGTCTCACTAAAGGGCACATTCTTCTCACCCTCAGAGCTCACTCCCCTGCGTTCCCTCCCTGCGCTTGGCTTAGACGACCCACAAGTCCCGACTCTGCAGTTTGCAAAGTCTAGTCCTAGCGGATCCCCGGTTTTGACGCGTCTTTATTTGGGGTGGCGAGATTGCTCGTTCCACCCTTGCCTTAAAAAGAAACCCGCAAAGCCGTACCCCAACTCATTAGAACTTACCTGGGAGGCGGTGGCGGCGGGTGGACTGCCAAAGGAGTCCACGGAAGACAGGTACTGAGACTCGGCGGAGGGCGAGGAGCTGCACCGGGAGCCGGAGTCGTAGTCTCCGGGGAAAGCCTGAAACATTTCCCTGGGCACAGGGGGGGCCCTGTGACCACGCTGCGGTCGCCGGGAAGCCAAGGCTATGGCCGGGTGGAGGAGGAAAGGCGCGAGTCCGGGGTGAGCCGAGCGCGTCCCCAAAGCGCGCTGTCCGGGCAAACTCGGGGTGAGGGGCAGCGCGTCCCGTCCCAACCGCGGCAAAGTTTCGGTGCAATTCCTCCGCGGCGCCCGGGCCCCCACAAGATGCCGCTGTGCCGCCGGCAAGTCCAGGCTCCGGAGGACCCAGTGGCGCGGGGTCGGGGGGATCGCTCCCCCAGAGGCGGAAAGCGCTGTCCGGCTTTACAGAATCTGCTCCGGGTGCCGTCTCCTCCACGCGTCCGGCGGGTCCCCCCAAAGAAAAGGGAGTAATAATCAAGAGGACGGGGGAAAAAAAGTAAGCGGGTCCTCCAAAGTAAAATGTAGAATTATCCAGAAGAATCCTTCTGAAAACTTTCTTTCCGGAAAAAAATTAATAAGAAGCAGGATTCCGCAGCCCCAAGAACCACAACAATAAAGTCCCCAGGTCCCAGCGCCGCGTGTCCCAGCGGTGGCTGTAGCTTCAGTCTTATGAATGAACCCCAAAGCCGCCAGCCGTATTTATACGCCTGGACCCGCCTCCCTGCTTACGTCACCCGCCCCTCTCTCTGAAAACTTCTCCAGATTTCGGGCCCCGCCGCACCGAACCCCGAGCCGCTCGGCGGGGGGGTGCCCTGTCCTCCACCTGGTCACCCGCCACACCCTCCGCGGCCCCGGGGGTCTCGGGGGCTGCGCCCCGGGGCGCTCTGCAGGAGGGGATCCCGGCCCCGCCTCCTCGAGTTCCTGTGACGCAATTAACCATATAAGGAGCTCGGCCGGCCGGGCCGAGTGTTTGTTTGGTAACCTAGCAATTACGTCAGAGGGAATCCCTCGCTCGCTGGCGCTCTCCCCGCGCGCTTGCGGAACGCGTTCGCGCCGGCGCAGTGCCGCGCCGCCCCGGGGGCTGGTATTAATAGGCTCGCAAACTATTTGGGGAAGGTCCCGGGGAAGACCCTGGCAGGGGAGACCCCTCCTCTCCGGCCGCCCCGCCCAATTTCCCCGCTGGTGCAGCGCCCCCACGCGAGAGCAAGGTCAGATCTCCAAAAGCAGATCCTGGCTAAGTGCGCGGGAGTCCCGAGCCGGGTGGGAGGGGCTGGGATGCTCTAGGTGAAAGTGGAGGTGGGGTGGAGCCCCGACTTTCCCGGCAGCTTCTGGCCTGCTCTGTGAGCTTGGGAAATGGTTTCCCTCTTTGAGCTTCAGCTTCAGTTTTTTTTCAGCTTGGACGAAGGATGTGGGTCTTGGACACGTCGGTCCCTTCCCCCCCCCGCCCCCCCCAGGTCCACAGTGTAGGAGGTATGCAGGTTTGATGGGGATGGGTAATGAAACTTAGGGTGACATGTCTCTGCTGATGGTGCTGGTAACCTCTAATTCTCGATTTATTATCCAAGGACAGTAAGAATGTGTGCGGGATTAATAATGATTAATAATAATTATTATTATTATTATAATTGATGCTATGTATTTAACAATAACCAAGTGCCAGCTTCTATACTAAGACTTTCAATACAAGGTTTGTGATCCTTAAAACAACTTTGAGGGCTTAGGGAGGAAAATCTTCCTCCAATTTTAACATGATCCTCAAAAGAGGAAAATGATCGTTGGAGGGGTTAGGTAACTTTCCCAGGGTTCCACCGGAAGAAAGTCAAACTCAAAATTGTCAAACCCCAGCGCTCTTGCTCTCTCCTAGGTCCTCAGAGCTGCTGGTCCAGTGACATTCCTGAAAAGCCCTCAGTGTGGGGGCTGTTTAAGAGACAGCTGCTGTGATAGTAGCGTCCAGTCGCCCAGGGCGGAAAGCCTTGCAAAACCACCCTGTCTGCTCACAGTCCCTACGGTAACCCAGGCTCAGAGGGGGCAAGCTGCTCACCCGAGGCCACCCAGTTAGGAACTGGGATCTGATAGTCTAATCCGGATAATGTGGAAGCCACAGGCCCATCACACAAGCACCCACTGGGAGGGGTCCCACCAGCGGCTTCACAATTCTGAGGTCTTGGCGCTTCCCTTCACGTGCAGAGCCCGGGCCTAGCCCTGCCCTGGGCTCAGAGGGAGGATCATGTTAAAATTGGTGAATCCCACAGGCCCAGAGAAGGCGAGGGCCTGGCTCTGGGTCACACAGCACAGCTCAGACAGAGCAGCAGGAGGTGGTTCCTGATTCCCAGGGAGTTCTGATTCTCTGCCTCAGTAGTGGGGAGAGGGAGGGAGAGGTGGAAGGCTGGGCGGACATGGGGGGCAATGTGGGAAGGAGGGTGCTTCCAGACAAAAGCCAGGCCTCAAGACTGACCTCTATCTCGTCTCCCCGTGCCTCCTCTGTCTGCTGCCGGTCTGGAAGTAGAGACAGGGGACTAGGAAATGACACACCAACCACCAGCAGGCAGTGACTCGGCCCCAGCATCAGACAGGGAGTGACCCCTCAATCCCATCCAAGCCCCTCATCTCCTCTCCCCCGGAATGAAGGAGACACACAAACACGTAGTCTGGCTGCCCAAACACCGTTGCTCACCACAGGTGGCCCACATGTCCACACAGCCTCTGGCGTCTACTCCCAGGGTCACACTGGGGCATTCAGGCCTTCACCCATCACCAGCACCCCACACGGCCACATGGAAAAACACCTGTACATAGAAACACACACCAGCACATGGTTACCAGCACACGTGGCACATACACATGACAGGGACACCTTCCCTACAGGTGCTCATGGATGTTCTTCACTCAACAATAACAGGGGCTACTTATTTCAGTCTCACCACACGCCCAGGAGACAGGAATGGTCATTTCACAGGCAAAGAAGTGGGAGGCCCAGAGAGGTGAAGACACTTGCCTAGAGTGGCACAGTGAATGAGTGGCGGAGCTGGGATAAAAATGAAGCTTGTGGGCTTCGGAGTCTGTCATTTTGATTATTGTTGAGTGAGTTATGTATGTCAATATAGGTGCACGCAGAAGGTCACAGGAATGTAGACTCTGGGAATTTGCCCCCACGAGGCACATTGTAGGGGCTTGGTTTTTTGTTTGTTTCTTTGTTTAATATATTTTATTGATTTTTTTACAGAGAGGAAGGGAGAGAGATAGAGAGCTAGAAATGTCAATGAGAGAGAAACATCAACCAGCCGCCTCTTGCACACCCCCTATCGGGGATGTGTCCGTAACCAACGTACATGCTCTTGACCAGAATCGAACCTGGGACCCTTCAGTCTGCAGACCAATGCTCTACCGCTGAGCCAAACCGGTTTCGGCTAGGGGCTTGTTTTATTATCAAGACAAAGCTACTGTGCCCGGCCCAAGTAGCTCAGTGGGTGGAGTGTCGTCCTGTGCACCGAAAGGTAGCTGGTTCAGTCCCCCATCAGGGCACAACCTGGGCTGTGGGTCCAATCCCAGGTTAGGGCACTTACAGAGGGCAGCCGATCAGTGTTCCTCTGTCACACATTTTCTCTCTCACAGTGATCTCTCTCTCTCCCTTCCTCTCTCTGAGCATGTCCGCAGGCGAGGATTAAGAAGGAGAAGTTGAAATAAAGCCACCCTAACCTTTTCATAGAGCCTCCGGGAGACGTCCCTGGACGCAGAGAAACAGGCCCCTTGGTGGGCCTCTTCCCAAAATTATATTTCACAAATAACATATTAAAACATTTTCTTTTACCTAGAAGTTTAGTTTTCCCTTCAGATTTTAAAAGAAACCAAGCATTTTCATGGGCCCCTAAGATTGTCATGAGGCTTGCATAGTGCCTACTGTGTTCAAGGGGAAAATTGGCATTGGACTCTCTCTCTCTCTCTCTCTCTCTCTCTCTCTCTCTCTCTCTCTCTCTCTCTCTCTTCCTCTCTCTGTCCTTCCCTCCCTCCCTCTCTCAAACACACACACGGACATGCACACCCACCCACAGAGCATGGGGTGAGCAAAGCAAGTCTTCCTCTCTGGGGCTCAGTTTTGGGGCTTTGGGAGGAGGGAACTTGAGAAAGGAGAGAGGACAGAATCCCTGGCTCTGCGTGTGGACCAGGCAAGGAGAAGCCCGAGGCGTCTGCCCCCACAGGTGAGGGGGGGTGGCAGTGCCAGCTTGGCTGGCTCAGTGCATCCTGTGAAGAGCCCTGGGCCAACATTGCCCAAGGCAGGCCTCAGTCTGTCCTTCCGCCCTTTGGCAAAATCGCTGCCACACCATTTCTCAGCTTCTGCATCCAGAGAGCATGAAGCTTAGAGGACAGCGGGCTCTGAAATATAATAATGAAAACGAGGATTGGGGCCTCTGACAGCAAACACTCAGTAAGCTTTGTCAGTGAGTTCTCACCACACCAGCCTCCTATAATAGATAGGTTACTCTCCCCACTGTACCGAGAAGGAAACTGAGGCACAGGGAGGTGAAGCTGCAGAGCAGTGCTGCTCAGCTGTGACTGTGGCCATGGCTCACCGGGGATCTGGTTAAAGGGCAGGTCCGGTGAGGTCTGTTGTTTCCAGCAAGCCCCTGGGTGAGGCCAAGGCTTCGGCCCTGAGAGAAAAGTCTGCGAGTTTCTAAGGCACGAGAGGAGGGAGGTTTGCGACTTTGTGTCCTACTGTCACTACTGCGTCCTCACTGAGGGTAGAACCAGACTGATTAAAAGTAGCTCCTACTGAACATAAACTGTGCACCTATGGATGAGGACACTGGGGGGCGGGGAGGGGGCGGAGGGTGGAGTGGGGGGGCGGGGAGGGGGCGGAGGGTGGGGTGGGAACCTGGTGGAGGGGGGAAGAAATGAGGAACCTTTGTAATAATATGAACAATTAAGATTGAGTTAAAAAAAAAAAAAAAAAATAACTCCTGGCGCCTCACTGCCCAGCATTGATAGTGTTACTGGCCGGGCCAGCTCCCAGCGAGCAATCCTGGAAGCCTCCTGGAGGAGGTGTCTGTGGAATGTCAGGAAAGCAGAATGGTCCCTATTGGGGACTCTCAGCT